GCAGCAGCTATGGCTCCATCCCACTGGCTCACATGAACGAGCAGCCCCACACTCCAGAACCAAGTTGGTGAAGGCCTGGCTCTTTGAAACCTAGGTGGCTGTGGTTGCTCTGCCCCCAAAGGCCATGGTCCTACCCTTAAGGCTGAGGCAGCTCTGCTTCCATTTCCTTGGTCCCTCCGCTTCTGCCGATTAATGCCAAAGCAACCCACTCCGCTGAAAAACCCTGCCCAAAAAGCACTTGCCTTTTTTGCTCCGTGTGCCGGCCAACCTGCTACTCCATTTCATGCCAGTCTTTTTTACCAATTAATGCCCGAAGGCAACCCATTCTGCCAGGAAGCCGCCTAACTAAAGGCACCAAGCTTTCTCCTCCATGGGCTGGGAAGGCTGTCGCTGTCTCATGCCGGTTCTCTCGGCTCTGCTCCTGCCGTCTCTCATGCCGGTCTCTTGCTCTACTCCTGTTGTCTTTCACGCCTTATGCTTGGGTCTTTCTGCCAGGGTCTTGGGTCAAGGACACACTCCACTCCTGTTTCCACATTTTAGGTATCTGTCAGAGCAGCGCCCCATTCTTTCGGTACCAAATTCTGTTCTGGTTACCTAGTGCCACTCTGATGAGAAATATACCACAAATGGGATGGCCTTAACAAACAGGAGTTTATTCTTAAAATTTGGAGGCTTTAAGTCCAAGTTCAAAGTGCCAGACTCTAGGGGCTGGGTGAAAGCCCCTCAACCTTGGGGTCCAGCTCTGCCTCCTGCTCCCAGCCCACTGGAGCTAGAGGCATTTCTTCACTCAGACAGCTGTTGGCTGCTGAGGCTGAGAAGCCCCAAGGTTGACAAGTAAAAAGGCACAGTCCTGATGTTACCAAACCACACGGAAGGCCATTAACTTAAGTCCATTGTAAGTCCCAAAGTCGGCAGAGCATAGCAGGCTGCTGAGTAACGACAGCTACATGCAGGGTCCAAGCGTGCCATAGGCTAGAGACCATTCTCAAAGCTTTTCCTTATATACAGGAAGCAGACCACATACCCAAAGGCAGCTACTCAGCTGTTCCCAGTAGATTCCACCATGGAGTTGATTACCAGTCTCATCATGGGGAATACTACAGCCAGCTGCCCAGCCACTCAACCAGGCCTAGCCAAGTTGACATACAAACATAACCATCACAACCTCCATTGTCCCCTTACTCACCTCTTCCCAGACACACAATCCAGCCTCCCTCTTGGTCTCAAACACACCAAGGTCATGCTAGCCTCAGGACCTTTGCTCATGCTGTTCCCTTTGCCTGGAACTCACCTCCCTCTGAGAGCTCCCCTTTCAGCTCTTAGCTTCAACATCCATTGCATCCTCGGGGAAGCTCCCTAACCCTCTGGATCAGATTTTGACACTCTGTTCTCTACTCTGCCAGCACCAGGGACTGCAGCTTCTCAACACTTCATATACTTGTCCAGCCCAAAGGCAGTGGGTAGTGAGTTCAGTTGACTGACTGACTGAAAAAGTGACCAAATTTATCTATCTCTTTTTAAAACTGGTTTTTAATGACACATAATTCTGGAACACATTCTCATACAACCCATTGTGAAAAATTTTCTCTGTCCTCTCTCCTTCCCCATAGTGACCATGCTAACCTGTTGGAGACTTAAATCCACAAACCCTCTTGCTCACCTATTTATATGTAGAATACTTGGAAGGCTGGTTTAGAATTGTATCTTCTTTTGCTTTGCTGTCACATAGATGGAGATGTACGGTGTACATTGTCCTGCGAGCTCCCTTTTACTCTCTTGTCACCTGTGGGAACGTCACATGGGTTTTGGAGAGTTCTCTGTGTTGCCCTTCATCTCCTATATTTGGTGTAGATGGCTGCACAGCATTCTACCATGTGGATAAACCAGAGTGTGTTCAGCCACTCCTCTGTGCATAAACGTTTATGATGTCCTGTTTTTCTGCTTTATACGTAACGCTGCAGTGAACATCTTTGCACGTGCTTGCTTCCTCGTGCTCATGTATAAACACTTCTTGGAGGTAGATTCTAAAAACTGGAGATGTTTGTTTCTATCAGCTTGATTCCAACTCATGGCAACCCCGTATACTACAGAGTAGAACCAATCCATGTGGTTTTCTTGGCTGTAATCTGTTATATATATCCATGTTGTTGTTGTTGTTGTTGTTATGTGCCGTCGAGTCAGCCCCGACTCATAGTGACCCCTCCTTGGGTTTCCGAGGCAGTATCACTACGGAAGTAGGATTGCCCAACCTTCTTTCCGAGGAGTGGCTGGTGGGTTTGAACTGCCAGCCATCTGGTTAGCAGGCAAGTGTCTTAGCCACTATGCTACCAGAGGTATTTCAAACTCACCAGCCTGAAGGAAGATGGGGCAATCTACTTCTGTAGTGATACTGCCTCGGAAACCTGAGTTGGATCTGACTTGACAGTGGTGAGTTTGGTTTATGTGTGTATACCAAAAAAAACCAAACTCATTGCTGTAGAGTCAGATCCAACTCATAGCGACCCCTCCTTGGGTTTCTGAGGTGGTATCACTACAGAAGTAGATTGCCCAACCCTCCTTCCGAGGAGTAGCTGGTGGGTTTGAACTCCCAGCCTTCTGGTTAGCACTCACATACCTTAGGCACTACACCACCAGAGCTCCCTATGGGTATATGTGTGTGTGTGTGTGTATAATATTTCTGTGTATAATACACACAGCAAAACATGCACCATCTCAACAGTTTCTACATGTACAATTCAGGGACAGAGATTACATTCTTTAAGTTGTGCAACCGTTCTTGCTATCCTTTTCCAAATCATCCCACCACCATCGAGATAAACTCACTGTCCCCTGAGCTTCCATCCAACCTTTTGGGTTTGCTATTGTGAACTTGATCCTATGTAGGTAGTTCTTTAAAAGATCCCAATGCTCAAGGCAGACCTTCTTTACTAATCAAGGTAAACTGTTTGGTTTAAAGATGACTTCAGGGGATCAGTTAGGTTTAAAGTTCAAGGTTTAAAGATTATCTCAAGGCAACAGTTTCAAGGGCCCTCCATGAAGTTGGCTGTAATCTTCACAGAAGCCGATCACCAGGCCTTTTTCCCACCGGGTGGATACGAACCACCAACCTTGAGGTTAGCAATTGAGTGCAAATTATTTGCGCCATCTAGGGGCCTTAAAACTGAAAATACCAGGGCACAAAGTCTGTGCATTTGTAATTTTACTAGACTGCCAAATTGCCTTCCTCAGTGAAGGCAGCCAGTTCTTGTTGCCACCAGCAATGTCTCAGACTGCCCATTTGTATACATGTGCACTAGCACTTGGTGTTAGGAGTTTTTTTTCTTTTTCCCATTTATGATAGTCAGTATCTTAGACTTGTGGTCGGGTTAGGGGTGTTCCTGCAGAGTTGGTTGGATTCAGGCCCATGCGTGTATCGACTCTGACCCCGTTCTGTCCTCTCTCCTGCCCCGCGTGTCTTGTGATTCAGGTACCTCTGTGACTTCACCTACTACACTTCTCTGTACCAGAGCCATGGCCGGTCTGCCTTCGTTCACGTGCCACCACTGGGCAAGCCGTACAATGCGGACCAGCTGGGCCGAGCGCTGCAAGCCATCATCGAGGAGATGCTTGATGTCCTGGAGCAGTCAGAAGGCAAAATCAACTGTTGTCACAAACACTGAGGGCCACTCGGGCCTCCCAAGACCTCATCCCGCCAGGGACCTGAGGAGAGACACTGCCCTCTGGGACCTGGCCAGGCAGGACAAGCCAGTCACCTGGGGCTCCAATTTGGATGAAGCATTCTGATTCACACACCCTGCCTCCCTCCTTTTCTCCAACAAAGTTACGATTGATTAGAAGAAGGAAGCAGCCGACCATTTTTTCTGTTTCCTTTTGCTTTTGCCATGGATGAGGGAGGGGCAGGCAGGCACTGAATTCCACCAGGAATCCTGCCCAAGGGGATCTGCAGTGTTGGGGTCACAGCTGGAGCCCGACCACAGTAGGCCTGTGGGCAAAGGGATTCTGGACTCTCCACCTCCATCTGGTTTTCCCACAATTTAAAAGCCTCATGAGGAACCTTCCTCCTGATTCATGTCCCAGAGTCCGGGACAGCCCCAGCAGGGACAGCCCTGGGATATGGCGCGTTTTTTTTCCCTCTTTGTGACTCTCTTTTTTAAAACAATAGTGCTAGTTTGGAGCACTGAGTAATTTATATTCCCTTTGGTTAAAACTCACACTTGAGCCAACAACGAATCTTTTTTTTTTTTTTTTTTTTGCTTTTTTGCTTTGTTTTTCCCGGTGATTACTTTGCTTGTATTTGTCCATTTCAAACAAATAATACATATTGTGTTTTTTATTATTATTCTAAACCTTCCCCTACCAGGGGCTGGTTTTCAGCATTTTTTCTATTCCCTGTTCCTGGTTGAAACTCTGCCCACCCCCCACAACTCAAGGTTGTTTTTTGTTTGTTTGTTTGTTTTGTTTTTTTCCCTTTTCCCCCCATTTTTTTCTCTTCCTCGTGACTAACCCCATTTCTTTTTTTCTTTTTGCAATCTTCCTATTTTTTTTCTTCATTTACTATTTTCCTTCCCAACCATTTTTTTTTTTTTTTTCTTCTCTTCTTCTTCTTAGTGCCCTATCCCCAGATATTGCAGGTTTGCTTG